CACATTCCATTAAAATGTTCAACTTCGCGATTTTGACGATGGTTGCTGGTGCATCAGTTGTGAGATAACTAAGTCACAGTAGAAAACGTAATTCTGATTTATTTACTAAAATGACTCATATAATTTAGACAAATATTGTACTTTGATCTGGTCTATATTTTATTTGCCCTTCTTCATTTTTGAGCACAAGAGGCAGTCGCTTTAGCATGGAGTCCACCAAGTTGACTGCCAAACAGAATTTGCAAGTTTCCTCTAATACACCGCACATCCTTACCACTGGCGACTAATGACAAGGTAGCTAACTTATCCCTGTTTCGGATAGAGGCAAAAGTTTTTGATTAAATTAAAATTCCAGCTGCTGCGCAGTAACTGAATGAATTTGATAATGAACTTGATCCCTCTAGAAACTGCATGTGAAAAATAACATTTATTTAGGTTCAACCACTTTCTACCACCAACCTTCATTTGTAAAAAATGTGGCTTCCGCGAATGCATTTTCGGAGTGACAGTTATCAAAAACCTCCCTTATCAGTGCAAGAAATTTTGCTATGTCCATATTGGCATATGCAGAAGACCAACAACAATGTACTCAATAACCGCTTCCCTTCCAACTCGTTAGGAGGGATAGATATTTACTTCTTTTGAGAGTTAAAAAGAAATTCACTAGAAAACTGGCTCAGCTTTCATAATATGCTGAATTACTCGTTGGGCACCATAGAGATAAACCCACTGCCAAATGGAAGGGCGACGCGATTTGAATTTGTTGGTAAAATCAATACGCTCTATGCTTTGTTGGGCGTTCAATAACGGCTTTATATCACGTGTCCTCAGCTGCATTTTAAATTGAGCCAGATTTTTTTTAAATGACAGCGTGGGGGGAAAATGGTTAATCATCCAGGACTATCCTCCAGATTGGTTGTGTGAAACTCTTCTCTGCTGCGATCAAATACAACCATCCTCCTACTTGGATATGGTCGGTTTTCTCCCTCTCGGTTTATGTCTTGATGGAGAAATTTCGTTGAAAATGCAACAAATTGTTCACAACGAAGCGTTTTCACAGGACACCAACTGAGACATCGGATTTACGCGCCTATCGGCTTCAATTATACGCCAAAACATTTTGAAATTTTCATCCGGTGTGGGCATGGTGACACTAGAGGAGGCTTATTCAACGAGCCGCACACCTCAAGGTCAACTTTTGAAGACCAACTTGGTTCTTGGACTATTTTTTCAGTTCTTCCAGTAGTGTAGATAATGCATGAGAATTCTGTAGCCAAATAGTTTATCAATTTATTCAAGCTACAAAATTTTCATTAATTGGCTTATTTACTGTGCAGTGAATGAAAAGAGATTAGAAATTTAGAATACGTGTGCTCAACTTGATAAACTCTCTTATGGGACAGAAATCATCGAGTAAGAAGAATTAACTGCCATGCTGCTTTGTCCAGAATATTTTCCAAATCAGCGCTGTAACTCTCGAACTACTACAAGTTTTATCGCGACACTCAAGGTCGCGCAAATTCAAACGGTGACAGATGGTGGAGATGAAGTCTAAAATAAACACAATTTACTCATAGCCATGTATATATAGGTATGATATTGCAAGCTGAAATGAATTTCCAAAACGAGGGTGATGTTGCACGAGTTTGGTCAACACCTGCTCACTACCAATTCGCCTAGAACACAATAAACAATAGTTGATCAAAAAAGAAACATTTTGCGCGGATGAAAATGACGGCTTGAAGTGGAACTGTCATGCCCGATACGTTTCCTGATTTGTC